GCAGCCTGGTGGGAGCCGCAGTCTGCGGCGAAGATTACGCCGTCGACGGGCCGCCACGCCGGCCACGCCGCGAGAACCGTCCCCGCAGCCTGGCCCCTCTACAGCCAGGGAATGGTCCCCGCAGCCTGGGCCAGTCACATCCAGCCCGCAGCCTGGACCGTCGTCGAGGCGAAACACGCAGTCTCCATTGTCGTGCTGTGGCGCGGCGGGACGATTAGCGGCAATGGAGCTGCGTTTCGGTGTGATGGTGTCTCAAATGGCAGAACTACGGAGAGATCTGGATACGGCTATCGTCGAGATTGCTCGGCTCAGCGAGCAGCAGAACGTGCGCCAGTCAGTGGAGCAGCCCATCGCGGTGAGTAAACTAAGCCTAACTTAACCTAAACTAATCCTAACTTAACTAATACTTACCTTTTCTATTTATTGCAGCGCTACCAGCAGCCAGCAATTCCCTATCCTGAGTTCGTGGCACAATCGTTGATGAACCGTGACTGGATGCCGGGATGCCTCCAGCATCACTTTGATGCGGTACTGGGCCGGTGCGCGCAACGTCAGATGCTGCCAACCTTCATCAGGAAACTGCTTGTGGCGTTGTACCCAACAACCTACCGCAGGAAACGCCTGAGCGACCTCGGCCATGAACAACGTCTGATAATAGCACATGCGGTAGGGTGTTGGGTGACGGTGGTCCATGATGTTGGAAGGCAGCTTAGCTGGCCATGGCTTAATAGCTCGATAGCCTACGCTATCTCGGCTGCCCGTCACATGGCCGATGAGGACAATGTATTTTTAACTGGGCACATCGACCTTATTCATCCCCCGGCTATGTTCGGCATAGCTCGCTTGCATGACAGTGGTATGGGGGGAGAATAATTGTGTTGCTAAATAAATAAATGAAATAAACCTATAAAAAGAAAATATACTTACCTGCTGCACCTGAAAAAAAGAAAATATACTTACCTGCTGCACCTGAAAAAAAAAATATACCTACCTGCTGCACCTGAAAAAAAGAAAATATACCTACCTGCTGTCGTCGTCGGGGTTGGTGTTCGTGAGATTGACCGTGGCTAGGTACCAGTTGACTTGCTAGGTACCAGTTGACATTTCCCATCGACCAATACTGCATTCATATGCCATGCCACCAACCCGCGGTACTCGGTGCTGCTCTCGGGATCGGTGTCCCTCGGCCTGTGACCATCTTAGGCCGATGGGATCAGCTCTGGCATGGGTGAGATGGCTTGGCGGGACCGCAGCTGCATTTGCATACGGCCTAATCTAGATTAATATCAACCACACATTTTTGCCAATTTCATGTGTTGGCACAATTGGCTGAGTTGAGCAGTCAAGTGGCGATGGGCACAATTGGCTGAGTTGAGCAGTCAAGTGGCGATGGTGTCCCTCGGCCTGTATCCAGCTTAGGTCGATGGAATGACCTGTAGCATGTGCCAGATGGCTTGGCGGGACCGCAGCTGCATTTGCATACGGCCTAATCTAGATTAATATCAACCACACATTTTTGCCAATTTCATGTGTTGGCACAATTGGCTGAGTTGAGCAGTCAAGTGGCGATGGGCACAATTGGCTGAGTTGAGCAGTCAAGTGGCGATGGTGTCCCTCGGCCTGTATCCAGCTTAGGTCGATGGAATGACCTGTAGCATGTGCCAGATGGCTTGGCGGGACCGCAGCTGCATTTGCATACGGCCTAATCTAGATTAATATCAACCACACATTTTTGCCAATTTCATGTGTTGGCACAATTGGCTGAGTTGAGCCGCAGAGTGGATGGTACAATTGGCTGAGTTGAGCCGCAGAGTGGAGTGTGTCCCTCGGCCTGAGACCAGTATAGGCCGATGGGATCAGCTCTGGCATGGGTGAGATGGCTTGGCGGGACCCCAGCTGTATTTCCCGAGGAACGATTTTAAGAGGTGAAACGTTGTGGTGAGGTTGGACGATTACGTTGAGGAGTGCTTCGCGCACATACTCGCTCGCTCGTAGACCATGCCACCAATACGCTGCCGGTCCTCAGTGTACTTACAATACTAACAAAACACACCACCATTGTCCCATTGTGGTGCTCAGCTCGGCTCACCTATTGAAGTCAAACCGAACAATGACTTTCGTTTACTGGCCATATAGCTAAAACTAGCTACATGTCAGTAAAGTAGGTCAGTGTTCGATTCAACCATGTTGCCATATGTGGTACGTTCGTGTTTGTAGAACAAATCAAAGTAACCATAAATTTTTCTTTGTTTTTTGACAGTCTAATCGTGTGAAGATGCCGGCAACGACACGTTCCATGTGGCGGGAGCAGGGGCCACCATCACGGTCGCCATCGCCGCCGCCGCCATCAGACCGTCGGCGAAAGAGACGTCGGAGTCAGTCACGGGCCACACCGCCGATAGCGCCGTCCCCGCAGCCTGGTGGGAGCCGCAGTCTGCGGCGAAGATTACGCCGTCGACGGGCCGCCACGCCGGCCACGCCGCGAGAACCGTCCCCGCAGCCTGGCCCCTCTACAGCCAGGGAATGGTCCCCGCAGCCTGGGCCAGTCACATCCAGCCCGCAGCCTGGACCGTCGTCGAGGCGAAACACGCAGTCTCCATTGTCGTGCTGTGGCGCGGCGGGACGATTAGCGGCAATGGAGCTGCGTTTCGGTGTGATGGTGTCTCAAATGGCAGAACTACGGAGAGATCTGGATACGGCTATCGTCGAGATTGCTCGGCTCAGCGAGCAGCAGAACGTGCGCCAGTCAGTGGAGCAGCCCATCGCGGTGAGTAAACTAAGCCTAACTTAACCTAAACTAATCCTAACTTAACTAATACTTACCTTTTCTATTTATTGCAGCGCTACCAGCAGCCAGCAATTCCCTATCCTGAGTTCGTGGCACAATCGTTGATGAACCGTGACTGGATGCCGGGATGCCTCCAGCATCACTTTGATGCGGTACTGGGCCGGTGCGCGCAACGTCAGATGCTGCCAACCTTCATCAGGAAACTGCTTGTGGCGTTGTACCCAACAACCTACCGCAGGAAACGCCTGAGCGACCTCGGCCATGAACAACGTCTGATAATAGCACATGCGGTAGGGTGTTGGGTGACGGTGGTCCATGATGTTGGAAGGCAGCTTAGCTGGCCATGGCTTAATAGCTCGATAGCCTACGCTATCTCGGCTGCCCGTCACATGGCCGATGAGGACAATGTATTTTTAACTGGGCACATCGACCTTATTCATCCCCCGGCTATGTTCGGCATAGCTCGCTTGCATGACAGTGGTATGGGGGGAGAATAATTGTGTTGCTAAATAAATAAATGAAATAAACCTATAAAAAGAAAATATACTTACCTGCTGCACCTGAAAAAAAGAAAATATACTTACCTGCTGCACCTGAAAAAAATAAAATTTACCTACCTGCTGCACCTGAAAAAAAGAAAATATACCTACCTGCTGTCGTCGTCGGGGTTGGTGTCCGTGAGATTGACCGTGGCTAGGTACCAGTTGACTTGCTAGGTACCAGTTGACATTTCCCATCGACCAATACTGCATTCATATGCCATGCCACCAACCCGCGGTACTCGGTGCTGCTCTCGGGATCGGTGTCCCTCGGCCTGTGACCATCTTAGGCCGATGGGATCAGCTCTGGCATGGGTGAGATGGCTTGGCGGGACCGCAGCTGCATTTGCATACGGCCTAATCTAGATTAATATCAACCACACATTTTTGCCAATTTCATGTGTTGGCACAATTGGCTGAGTTGAGCAGTCAAGTGGCGATGGGCACAATTGGCTGAGTTGAGCAGTCAAGTGGCGATGGTGTCCCTCGGCCTGTATCCAGCTTAGGTCGATGGAATGACCTGTAGCATGTGCCAGATGGCTTGGCGGGACCGCAGCTGCATTTGCATACGGCCTAATCTAGATTAATATCAACCACACATTTTTGCCAATTTCATGTGTTGGCACAATTGGCTGAGTTGAGCCGCAGAGTGGATGGTACAATTGGCTGAGTTGAGCCGCAGAGTG